CTCACTCTCACAGCTGGATGTAGAGGAGGCAGAGTGGATTCCCCATCTGTCCAGGGCTCACCCGGAAGAGGGAGGTAGGAGAGAGGAAGCCAGGAGATGAGAAAGACCTCGGGGGTGAGGGGTAGAGGTGAGGAATAAAGGAGGGAAATGATGAGGGGAGAGAAATGAGAGAGGAGAGGGAGAGGTGAGAAACGTGGGGAGCCCTGCACGCCCCAGATGAGAAAGACCCCAAACAGTTGATGTCAAGTGGCTTGTGATGCATGAGGACCCCACGTGTGTAGAGTAAGAGGGCTGTATAGGGGTTTTGCCAGAACTTTCTTCCAGGGCATCTTTGGGTGGGGTCCTGCCACTAACTTTCTTTTTTTTCCTTCTTCTCCTTTACTGTGTGTACATTTATTGATTGCTGGGAATACACTCCATGGCAATCCATGGCATGCATGTGCAAGAAGAAATGGACCAAATGTGAAATGAAGCTGCTCGCTAAGACGGCTGGGAGTCAGTAAGGTCACGCAGATTGGATCTGAGGACACGGTGAGGAGGACGCAGCCAGCTTTTAGGTTGTTATTAGGATTCCTGCTAGGATTTCTTCTGAAACTCCTTTTTCCCAATTACTTAGGAACTACCAGGAAAGACCAGCCTGCCTTTAAACTAAACAAATAATGGCAGGGATTTGCAAATCATAGCCCTACTTAAAAAAGGAAAAAAAATGTATCTATGGTCTTCATAGTTTACTTCAGTAATTTGATCTTACATTTCATTAAGACATTTCCACTTTAATAAACTGTCCCATACTCATTCGATTTAATCGTGGAGCACTTATCTGTTTGTACCACCCAGGGGCACACACAGAGAAAGCGAAAGAGAGAGAGCAGAGGTGGAGACCCTGCGATGCAGAACAGGGCAAGGAGACGAGAGCGCTCCTGGAGAGGACCGCGGCACAGCTGTGCAGGGTGTGCACCGAACAATTCCAAGCACAGTGTTCACAAAGCCGGAGCTTGGGACCCTACAGTTCTACAACCCTGCAGACCTGTCCCACGATCTTAGACCCCTGAGCCCTCCTGTATATGAGTCAATATCTTCCACAGATTCCCGGAAGATGACAACATGTCCTTCTGCACCCCTGGAGGACAGAGAGTAAAAAGATGAGAGCGAATCCAGAAAGAGAGCTGCCCCATCATTGTGCATCCTCCAGAGTCACAGTATCATGGCCTCCGAGAGAGCCACCAGCCCGAGGATCCAAAACCACCTCATGTCTGTGCTGGGTTCAGAGAACTCAGTGAACTCAGTGAAGAGCCTTCTCTGGGGACTGACTCTCTGGAGCCCTCTTTATACACAGACATGCTCACCTGTCCCAAACTCGCTCTGAGGGCTCCAGGTGGGGCTTGATGAGAAAATCAGACCATAAAGAAACAAAAAGGGCATGTCAGAAATTTCTTAGGATACAGAGCTGAGGATTCATTGCCTTGGGCTTGGATGGAGTAATAAAGTTAAAGGAAGCCACATAGCCTGACCCAAAGTAGGGAGAGGATTGCTTCTAAGGAGTTAAAGGATCGCAAAATTATATAAAACAAAGTGAAGGAGCTGGCCCAATGCTTGCACTCTCCCCAATGTCCTGGGGAGATACTTTTGCTTCACTGTCCTTTAGGGAAGGAAGTTCAGATCGAGAAGGATAGACTTTGTGAGACAATCGGTTGGCATATGAGTGAATGAGTTCAGGTGAGAAAGGACCCCTTTGTGCTGTGGTGTTGGAGGAGAGTACTGACAACCCCATGGACAGCCTAAGAGCAAACAGTTACGTCTTAGAGAAGACGCAGCCCGAGTCCTCCTTGGATGCAGAGATGATGAAGCTTCGTCTGGAATCCTTTGGGCTTGTTGTGAGGAGAGGCTATTCCTTGCAGAGGGTGAAAGGTGGAGGGTCATTGAAAGAGAGGAAGACCCTTAATGAGATGGATCGACACAGTACCTGCAGCAATGGTTCAGGTGTGTCAGCGATGACAAGGAAGGCACAGGATGGGGCAGGTTCAGATCTGTTGACCACAGCAAGTCTATGAGTGATACTCCGATTGAAGGCACCTGACCACTGCAATAACAACAACAGGTGGGACCCAGGTTAGGGACTCTCATGTTGCCACCCTATTCTAAAGGTCTAGACTAGAGTAGCATCCCCACTGTATAACCTCAGTATTGTAAATTATTTGATACTCGCATCCAAAAGATACTTTATCCATGCAGCAAACATTTGTGTGCAAAGCAATGTGTGCTGAGAACTGGGCTGGAAGCGGACAGAGCAGCTGAATAAGATCTGAGTCCTGCCTTCAGGGTGTTTGCCCTTTAGAGCCTGCTCTTAGCTGTCAGTGAGTCAGCAGAGAATGACTGGCTGCTCCTTCCTGCTCCACCCTCAGGACGGGTGGTGGAGGGGCTGATGTTTGTAAGTGGGCCGTCAGACTGTTCCTTCTCAATCTTAAGGGCCATTAGTTGAAACTGACTCATAGTTGACCCTCCATATGGGTTTTCAGAGGCAGTAAATCACACAGGAGATTGTCCATCTTTCTCTATGGAGCAGGTGATGGATTAGAACTCTGTACCTTTCTGTTGGCAGTGCAATTCTTTACAGCTAAGCCACCATAGCTCCCTGATAAAAACCAGTGTGGCCTCAGAGCACACGAGTCTTCTTCTTGGCAGTTCAAATCCACCAGTGGCTTCTCCTGAAGGGAAAGATGAGCTGTCTCCTTCTGTGAGATTAAGAGCCTCAGAAAACCGTGGAGAAAAGGGAGCTTCCTGGAGCATGTAGCATGGGTTAGTCTGTCCCCATGTCTGCGTTTCAGGATGGCTCGTCCCACAGAACCACTGGCAAACACGATCGTTAGGGGAATCTTAATAGTTGAAGCTATGAGTATAATTGAAGCTTACTTTTTGTTTAAGAAACTGAACTCAAGCCAAGATTTCAGAGAACTAATGAGCCAGAAGTTTCTCGTAATCTTGGAAGTTTATTACTATTGAACAATCTGCAATGTATGGAGTTAGAGAGCAAGATCGAGAAAAATGGCTGACCAGCAAAAATTAGGACCAGTCATCACGTTCAGCTTCCCGTGTAAGCTGCTTGAGACCTTTGGAAGAAAGAGACGAAAGATGAGCCCACCCCATTGGACAGTTGGTGGTTCCACCGACCACCTGCTTGCCTGACCACTGTGACCTGAAGCTCACTACACACCCACCGCACAAAGTCCATTGCCTGCTGTTTTCTCTATGTATCAATATTTAGTGATTCATGTTTTAATACACTCATGGTTTAGAAGTAAAAGATTATGAAAAGGGGGGGGGAAGAAAACTGCTGGAGGGTCAACTACTAGTCAAGTTCTGTTGTGCCCATGAAATGCCCCTCAAAGAAATCCAAAAACACGTCTGAAATTTCAAGAGCATTTATTATATATATTCCACGCGTGGAGACTTTTCTCCTTCCTCCGGGAGGTGGTGAAGGAAAAAAGCCCAGAGTTTTCCCTCCCACTTGCTTTTATAGCTCTTTTGAGTGCCCCTCTTAGGGCGGGGGGATTGCGATCTTGGTTGGTGGGTTGGCTTTTGATGGACTGGCTACTTTGCCCGCCTTTACTTCTTTTGTGTCACGTAGACACTAGTTAATTTCTTACTTTTCAAGGACAGACCAGGCTTTACCTGAGGCACTCAGGCACTCGTGTTTGACTTAAGCTAAGAATTTTTATGGCCCGCTTCTGCCTCTAGCGTCAATGGGTGTTGATAAAAAAATGGGGGTTTTGCTGTCCCTTCAGTTCAACTTGACCACAATGAAAGCATGCCACCGGCCGACGGTGCTCGAGGAGCACTGGGTGGAACTGAACCTCAGACAGCCACACGGAGCGTAGGAGCTGACACTGAACCAGCGGTGCACCCAGCACGGTTTAGGACCAGGTTCTCAAACTCCAGACCCAGAAGACATGGCAGCGTCGTGTGGACGACAGGGGTATATGTCCCGCCACCAAGGAGCAGCCTGTACTGCCCTCCCACCATGGCCAGTCAGGCATCTGAGGCCAGCCAAGTATCAGAGAGAAATCAGAGGTCGAATGTGAAATACTTTATTAAATGTCAGCAACTAATAATTCCCCTTCACCCCTCCAAACTATTGCCTGAAGCACACCTAGACCACCTGTGGCTGATTCAGCCTGGAGGGGTTTTCCAGGTGTTGATTTCTGGGGTGTCAAAGCCTTTTGATTGAATGACTAACAGATTGAATGGGTCCTGATCAGACCTGTTTTCCTTCCATTTGGAAAGAAAGACCACCAGTGTCAGAAACAACATCCACTTTAACAGTAATTTCCCCACACCCAGCCCCAGTCTCCTACACAGAGCATGAAGATTCAGTGCTGCCCCCACTGCAGACTCCATGCCCTGAACTATTTCATCTGCCAAAAGGAACGTGTTGTCATTATTAGGTGCCTTGGAGTCAAGTATGACTCATAGCGACCCAAGTAACAAAAGATCTGATCTTTGTCCTATCCTGTCCCATCCTCATCCTCTCGGACCACTTGAGCCCAATGATGCGGTCACTGTGCCAATCCATCTCGTTTAGGGTCTTTCTCTTTTTTGTGAACCATCTTACCAAGCATGATGGCCTTTTCCAAGGATTAGCCTCTCTTAGCAACATGCTGAGAAGCAGGGTTAAGAACTGAATTCTTCAATATGCACTGAAGCTCAACATCAAGAACACAAAATTGTCACCACCTGGCCAATTCGCTGCACAATAATGGATGGAGAAGAGATTCAGGTTGGTAACTGTTACGGCTTGCCCGGCTCTATAATATCAACATTCTTGGCACCAGCAGTCAGGAAATCAAAAGATGAACTGCATTGGAAAATCTGCTATCAGAGAACTTTCCAGAGTACCGAGAAGCAATGATGTCAGTCTAGAGACTAAGGTGTGCCTGAGCCAGTCCATGGGCTTTGCAATTACTTGCTATGCATCAGAGAGCTGGATAATGACTAAGGATGACAGAAGAAGAATTGATGCTTTTGAGTTGTGGTGCTGGAGAAGAGTCTTGAACATATCATGGACCACTAAGAAAACAAATTGGTCAATCTTGGAGAGGGTGAAACGGAGTTTCTCCTTGGAGTCTAGGATTGGAAGCTCTGTCTCACATACTTTGAGTCAGGAGGGACTGATCCTTGAAGAAGGATATCATGCTCAGAAGGGTAGAGGGACAGCACAGGAAAGGAAAACCCCAGATTAGATGGTTTGATACAGTAACTAGAGCAATGGGGGTAGGAGTGTTGGAGTCAGTGAGACTGGATCAGGACAGGGCAGACTTCAGAGCTGGTGTACTACAAATTGCAGGCAACTTGACGGCACATAACAACAACAGCAACATGCCGGAAGGAGGTCTGGTAGCTTAATAGTAAGGAATTGTGTTGACAAGCCAAAAACACATGGTACGAATCCACTCGTGTGATTTAGTTCCTCTGAAAACCCCCTGGAAGGTCAGATATGGCAGATATGAGTCTTTTCCAGCTTGATGGTAAGTACCAACTGTAGCAATCTGCCCAGAGTATGCAAGATGCCTCGTAGGAGCACTTGGCGACACTTTCCCCAAAACAGATCTTGGAATATAGAAAGGAATTTTTGAGAGTCCTATTAATAAGTTGTTTATTCTTGTTTTGTGCCATTGAGTGGCTTGCGACTCACAGTGATCCTGTGTACAACAGCCCTGAAACCTGCTCTATCCTGTGCCAACTTTACTGTCTCTGACACACCTACCCTCATTATCCCAGTCACTGTATCAATCCAGCTCATCGATGATCTCCCTCTTTTTCTCTGTTCCTCCACTCATCCGAGCATGATGTCCCTCTGCAAGGACTGGTCCCTCCTTGCAACATGCCCAAAGTATTTCAGATGAAGCCTCAGAATCCTTGCCTCCAAGGAGCAGCCTGGCTTCACTCTTTCCAAGACGAATTTGCTTGTTCTCCTGGCAGTCCATGGTATAATCAGCTCTCTTCCCCAGTACCACAAAAGAAGAGAAAAAAATAAACACCCCAAAACCAAAACAGAAAAAACAAACAAACAAACAAAACACCCACCAAAAAGCAACTCCCCAAAGTGTCTTCTTTCTGGAATAGGGCTGCCTCACTCTAGGAAAATGGAATTGTCTGGGGGCTCAGGGGTTCCCTGTCTTGATCTTATCACCTGTCTGCACTTAGGACAACCCTGAGGCTGCCCTGGGGCCCTGACTCCTGGTGGGGTGGTGGGG